AGATCTTAGATACTTTATTCAAATATTAAACTTGATGAAGATTTTATCATGTACATAAAGCAAGTTCTCAAAATCATTTACTTTCCCTGCTTCTAAGTGGATGGGATATTTAAGAGGTCATTGAGAGAAAATACTGATTTTTCAGATATGTTTTACAGGGTTATAAACCACAAATACTTTTTCAGTGCTCTTAGTTTAGATTGCATTATACATTCCCACAGTGCTGAAGTGGTTTTTTGTTTGTTTGTTTTTGGGAGACAGAGTCTCAATCTGTTGCCCAGGCTGATGTGCAGTGGCGTGATCTCGGCTCACTGCAACTTCCGCCTCCTGGGTTCAAGCAATTCTTCTGCCTCAGCCTCCCAAGTAGCTGGGATTACAGGTGCCCACCACTATGTCCAGCTAATTTCGTATTTTTAGTAGAGACAGGGTTTCGCCATGTTGGCCAGGCTGGTCTCGAACTCTTGACCGCAGGTGATCCTCCTGCCTCTGCCTCCCAAAGTGCTAGGATTACAGGTATGAGCCACTGAGTCTGGCTTAGTGCAGAAGTGTTTTTAGTCTTCATGAAATAATTTGACAGTAATTATATGCTGTCTACAACAGAGATCTCTCGATGCTCCAATATATATAGTGTTACATCCCAATACTTTCATGAGAAAAAATTTAAACCTCCAAAATTTAAAGGAAGGTGCAATTAACACCATATACGCTTTATCTAGATTCACTGACTGTTAACGTTTTGCTAAATTTGTTCTGTTTCCCTCCCTCCTCCTCTCTCATTTTAGCTCTTGCTCTCTCTCCACGTACACACAAATATATATATATACACATACACAGTTTTTTTGCTGACCATTTAAAAGTTGCAGCCATGATGACACTTCACCTCTAAATATCTCAGCATGTATTTTTTAAGAACAAGTACATTTTCTCACGAAGACATCACCATTACCACACCCAAGGAAATTAACATTGATAAGATAATATTAACTAATACACAGTCCATACTCAAATTTTCCCAATGTTAAAAAAAAAAAAAGTCCTTCGTAGATGCTTTTTTTCAATCAAGAATCACACATTTCATTTGATTGTAATGACTCTTTAGTCGTCTTCAAAATAGATCCCTGGCCACCCTTGTTCCCCTCTCTTTTTTTAGTGTCTTTCATGAGGTTGATACATTTAAAGAATTTTGGCAGACAGTCTCAATTGGTTTTCTCATGATTACATTTATGTTGAATGTTTTTGGCAAGAATAATGGATAGGTGTGTGGTAAGGTTTTAATACTGAAGACGTTTAGAACAAAAAGTAAAACAAAGGATGCTTTTCCTCTTTTCTTTCCTGCAGGATTCTGAACACAAGCAGTTTGCTCTGTGACTGCCATTTGAAGTGGCTACTTCAGTGGTTGATTGATAATAACTTTCAACATTCTGTGAATGTAAGCTGTGCACACCCTGAATGGCTAGCAGGGCAAAGCATCCTGAATGTGGATCTGAAAGATTTTGTCTGTGGTTTGTATTTTTGTTTTAAAATTTTATATATTACACACTTAATAATCTTAACAGAATTTAAAAAAATAAAACCAGAATGATTTTCCACTAGCAATTTTTGTAATCATACAGTTTTAATTGCCATTAAAAATGATCACAGGCATTTTCATGAATGAAGGCTTTTCTCTTTTAGGGGGATTGTTAACCTTAGGTTAGGTATTTGGTAGTCAGATTCCTAAATCAAGCAATATGAGTTTTTTTATATGAACATTTTTAGTAGATCTTGAAAAGTGCCACTAGGTACTTTCTATTTTTTTTTTTTTTTTTTTGAAGGAGTCTTACTCTGTTCCCCAGGCTGGAGTGCAGTGGCGCGATCTCGGCTCACTGCGAGCTCCGCCTCCCGGGTTCACGCCATTCTCCTGCCTCAGCCTCCCAAGTAGCTGGGACTACAGGTGCCGCCACCTCGCCCGGCTAGTTTTTTGTATTTTTTAGTAGAGACGGGGTTTCACCGTGTTAGCCAGGATGGTCTTGATCTCCTGACCTCGTGATCCGCCCGTCTCTGCCTCCCAAAGTGCTGGGATTACAGGCGTGAGCCACCACGCCCAGCCCCAGGTACTTTCTAAAAAGATAGCACTAGTTTAAAGTTGTCACCAACAGCGTATGAATATACTGAATCTGTGTGTTTCGTATTTTTTATGCGGTTTCATAACATTAAAGTGGCAGAGTTGTGTTTTTTCTTTGAGGGGAGAGAGAGAGTCATAGACAAGTTGTCCTGATTCTAGCACGTATACTTTCAAATATACTTTTTTTTTTTTTTTTGAGATGGGGTCTTGCTGCGTCACCCAGGCTGGAGTATAGTGGTGTGATCTCGGCTCACTGCAACCTCTGCCTCCTGGGTTCAAGCGATTCTCCTGTCTCAGCCTCCTGAGTAGCTGGGATTACAGGTGTGTGCCACCATACCTGGCTAATTTTTGTATTTTTAGTAGAGACGGGGTTTTGCCATGTTGGCCCGGCTGGTCTTGAACTCCTGACCTCAGGTGATCTCCCTGCCTCTGCCTCCCAAAGTGCTGGGATTATAGGTATAAGCCACTGTGCCCAGCCAATTTCAAGTATACTTCTATATTATTCTTTCTCAATTTGGAATTTTTTCCTTTACACTTAAATTTCCTTTAGGCTGGGCATGGTGGCTCACACCTGTAATCCCAGCACTTTGGGAAGCCAAGGTGGGTGGGTCACCTGGGGTCTGGAGTTCAAGACCAGCCTGGACAACATGGTGAAACCCTGACAAATACAAAAATTAGCTGAGTGTGGTGGCACACACCTGTAATCCCAGCTTCTCGGGAGGCTGAGGCAGGAAAATTGCTTGAACCGAGTTGGAGGTTGCAGTGAGGCAAGATGGTGCCACTGCATTCCAGCCTGGGCGACAGAGTTAGACTTTGTCTGAAAAAAAAAAATTTTTTTTCTTTAAAGTGGAATGACTGATTCTTAGCTTTACATAGGAGACCTTTTAGCTCAGTGTATCTATGTTGCATATCCCTAGAGTATCTCTGATCATTTGAGTACCTATATGTTGCCAAATCTGTTTTCACAGTGTCCTTAAAGATGGTTGGAACAGAACACACACTTGGAAGTTCGGGCCCACAAAATACATCCATTGTTCTTACAAATTTTAAAGAAGAGAACAGAATCTAGTAAAGGTTAAATTCTGCTGACATTGCCACACAATCCCTTTTTACTTAGTTTTAAATATAGACATACCATATATTTTTTCCTCCCCTTCCACTTACTGCTTTTATGGCATAATGAAATGTTATCCAGTGGAGATACTGGTTAAGATTTATATACCTGCTTCTCTCAGTCAGTCCAATAACATTATTAATTATGAATCTATATTTTATTAGCTAGTCCTAAGCCAATCTTCAGTTGGACATTTGACCTATTTGGATTTTTTCACTGCTTTAGGTGAAACCTGTGCACATACAAAATGCTTTCAAATAATTTGTTTTATTAGGTATTCTCTGTGAAATATAAATCATTCATAAGCTCCCCATTTTATATTGGCACAGAAAGGATAATGGTTTTTTATATATATATATATATATTTTTTTTTGAGACAGAGTCTCACTCTTTTGCCCAGACTGGAGTAAAGTGGCATGATCTCGGCTTGCCTCCCCACCCTGGGTTCAAGTGATTCTCCTTCAGCCTCTCAAGTAGCTGGGATTACAGGCGCCCGCCACCTCGCCTGGGTAATTTTTGTGTTTTTAGAAGAGATGAGGTTTCGCCATGTTGGCCAGGCTGGTCTCGAACTCCTGACCTCAGGTGATCCACCCACTTTGACCTCCGAAAGTGCTAGGATTACAGGCATGAGCCACCGCTCCTGGCCATATACACGTTTATCTATCACATACATATATACAAGGGGTAATAGAAGTAGAACTTGTCTTGAAATCCTAATATAAGGTTTCTGTTTTTCCCCAATAAGTGATAATGCTTGAGAAATACATTCCGAGCACACAAGTGACAGTAAGGGCTAGTAGAAAAGTGCTGGATCCTGAAGTCAGGAAACTTGAGTTCCAGTGCAGGCTCTGCCACTGACTTGACATGTTTTTGAGCAAGTCATTTGAATTTTCTGGGCCTCATTTCCCCCATCTTTAACCAAGGGAGTTGGACTCTAGCTCTGTGGTCTCTTTAAACTTTAATATGCCACTTTGTAAACAGAACACACAAATTTATAGTATTTGTTTTAAAATTTAAAGCAAAAATATATAACTGACTTGGCTGCGGATGCATTTTTTTCCCCTTAGATGATTTTCTTAAGCCACAGATAAGGACACATCCTGAAACCATAATTGCTCTAAGAGGCATGAATGTGACTCTGACGTGCAGTGCAGTGAGCAGCAGTGATTCACCCATGTCCACTGTGTGGCGCAAAGACAGTGAAATCCTGTATGACGTGGATGTTGAGAATTTTGTTCGTTATCGGCAGCAAGCTGGAGAAGCGCTGGAATATACTAGTATCTTACATCTTTTCAATGTGAATTTCACAGATGAAGGAAAATATCAGTGTATTGTTACTAATCACTTTGGTTCTAATTATTCTCAGAAAGCCAAACTGACTGTAAATGGTAAGGAATTATGCTCCTTGATTATTTTTTAGTTTAGAAGGATTTTTCATGTTCTGTTTTGAATCACTTGAGAGAATTAGGCTAAACCTGACATTTAAGCAGGACTCTTACTGTCTTTTGAGTTGTGATAACGTGTCAAGTGGGTGGGATTTTTGGATTAGTCAGTCTGCCCACTTATGGTCTCTAATTGGTCTTTGGTTGAAGGGTAAATGCTGTGGCCCTAAGAGATAAGCTGTTTTCACTGCTGTTTATGCTTTTGAAGACATTCTTATGAAATTCTCAGTTTTCATTCCAGAACCATAAATCTCTCTTGATAACTATAAAATTTATTCCTGATGGGCCTTATAATAACTGGGAATATCTAGGTCATTTTTGGGTCTAATGGTCATTATCATTGTCTAAATGTAGTTACACAGGATCATTTGTGTGTTTGTGTGTGTATTTTTTTTTATTTATTTTAATTTCTCTTTTTTTTTTTTTGAGATGGAGTCTCAGTCTGTCACCTAGGATGGAGTGCAGTGGCATGATCTCAGCTCACTGCAACTTCCGCCTCCCAGGTTCAAGTGATTCTCCTGTCTCCTGTAATTCCGTGTAGCTGGAATTACAGATGTGCGCCACCAGGCCCACCTAAATTTTGTATTTTTAGTGGAGACGAGGTTTCACCATTTTGGCCAGGTTGGCCTCAAACTCCTGAGCACAAGCGATCCATCTGCCTTGGCCTCCCAAAGTATTGGATTACAGGTGTAAGCCACTGCACCCAGCCTTATTTCAGTACCTTTTGGGGGTACAAGTGAGTTTTTTCCCCATAGATTATAGTGGTGCATTCTGAGAATTTAGTGCACCCATCACCAAGTAGCATACATTGTATCTAATGTGTAGTTTTTTATCCCTAGCCCCCCGCTCACCTTCTCCATTCTGAATCTCTGAAGTCCATGATACCACTCTGTATGCCTTTGTGTACTCATACTTAGCTCCCACTTATAAGTGAGAACATACGGTGTTTGGTTTTCCATTCCGCACAGGATCATTTTAAAAATGAATACTCTTCTTTCCTGCAAAAGCTTCTCAAAAATAGCTTGATTTATCTATTGCGTATCAAATTGAATAACTACAACATTTTAGGCTTTGTGCAACCAAAAGATGTACTTATGTTTCGCTTCTGTTTTTTAATGATACTTTTGAAGGCATAAGTTTTTTTTAGCATGCAGTTTCCTTGATAGCTTTGTAGATGTTGGTTTGGGCAACATCTTTTGTTTTTGAGATGGAGTCTCACTTTGTCACCCAGGCTGGAGTGCAGTGGTGTGATCTCGGCTCACTGCAACTTTCACCTCCTGGTTTCAGGTGATTCTCCTGCCTCAGCCTCCCAGGGAAGCATCATTTAGCTTTATAAGTGAGGGAATCATGGTAAATATCAGGTTCTAAAATAGGAAGTTCAAGAAGGTTTGTGGCCTTCTGCTTTCCCTAGTTCCAGCTGATGATTAAGTGTATCATGCATCCTAGAAGACACAGTTATCAGTGTGCTCCAAATACTCTGAGGTTCTGGAAGAAGAGATGGCCTCAAAACCATATTCACTCTTGGCCGGGTGCTGTGGCTCAGGCTTGTAGTCCCAGGACTTTGGGAGGCCAAGGTGGGAGGATAGCTTGAGGCCAGGAATTTGAAGCTGCAGTGAGCTGTGATTGCGCCACTGTACTCCCACCTGGATGGCAGAGCAAGACCCTATCTCTAAAGGTTTTTTTTTTTTAATTTATAAAACTATATTCACTCTCAGAGAGCTTGTCTTCACAAAGAAATGGAACATTACGGGGTGTTTTGCCTACTAGACTCTTTCATGCCTATTTGTATATATATATGTGTCTTTGTTCCCCTGCCCACTTTTTCTTGGTGGTCTTTCTGGAAACAGAGATGCCATCTTTTCTGAAAACGCCAATGGATCTGACTATTCGCACTGGTGCCATGGCCAGATTAGAATGTGCTGCAGAGGGACACCCTGCACCTCAGATTTCCTGGCAGAAAGATGGTGGTACTGACTTCCCTGCGGCTCGAGAAAGACGCATGCACGTCATGCCCGAAGATGACGTCTTCTTTATTGCCAACGTGAAAATAGAAGATATGGGAATCTATAGCTGCATGGCACAAAATATAGCAGGAGGTCTCTCAGCAAATGCTTCCCTAACAGTGTTAGGTACGTTTACTGTTTCATGGGTCCCTGCTCTTTTTGGAGTCTTTGGGATCTACTCTTGGTCTTAACAAGCAAGAAAAATAAGTTTGAGATTACCTCTCTGATTCTTAGATCTTTATCTTATTTCACAATTTTATGCAGGGTTATGTCAGTCTAGGAATTAGTAGGTCAGATAACTGAAATGTGGGAAAATACATAGGGCAAAATTAGGTAGGCATCCTTATCACAATAATTGAAAGTTCAAATTCCTTTATCAACTTACTTTTTCAAGTCCCTCACTGTAAGGTTTCTATTTCATGTAGGTGTGTTTACCATTCAGTGAGTTTGCATTGAGAGTTCCACTGTTCTCTTAGGAGTATCCCAGCCATTTGATGCTGCTTCACTTATTGCTTGATAGGAACCTGACTGTTTGCTCCTAGTTCATTTTCAAAAAAAATTAAACAAACAAAAAATGTATTTTCTAGTTAGAGTTTCTGCTTTCCTTTTCAGTGTGTTCTTCTTAACCCTATTTCTGGTAAAATGCCTTTTTTCCTAAACATTTCCCCCCAGCTAGCCTGGGTTTTTTTTTTTGTTATTGTTTTGTTTTGTTTTTTCTTCCTTGTTATAATACTTTTCTTCATGGAACTCAAATCCAAGGTAAATTCTACTTTCCAGTTCTGTATTTTCCTAGATGTCAGTTATTATTATTATTATTGTTTGTTGGTTTGTGTTACTTGTATAACCAGAAAAATAAGAAGTTATTTATTTATTTATTTATTTATTTATTTATTTTGAGACGGAGTCTCACTCTGTCGCCCAGACTGGAATGCAGTGGTGCGATCTCGGCTCAGAGCAACCTCCACTTCCTGGGTTCAAGCGATTCTCCTGTCTCAGCCTCCTAAGTAGCTGGGACTACAGGCACATACCACTGCGCCCAGCTAGTTTTTGTATTTTTTTTAAGAGACGGGGTTTCACCATGTTGGTCAGGCTGGTCTTGAACTCCTGATCTCGTGATCCGCCCACCTCAGCCTTAGAAAAATAAGTCATTTATTGTTTTAGCATGTTAAGATATACAGAAAATTAGGAAAAGGGGAGGAAAGTCACTCAAGACACTGAAGGATTTTAGCATATTCTAGACTTTCCCCTCTCACTTTTATGTAGTTAAATATACCTACATTTTTTTCATTTAATATTGTACCACAAGTTACCTTGTTATTAAAGTCTCTGTAAAACATAATGTGACTATACTATAATTTACTTAATCATTTTTCTGCTAGGTTTTAAAATATTTTTCTTTATTCTTTAAAATTACAAATTTTGTAGTAAACATCTTTGCATATAAATCTTTGAATTTCATTTTTTTTTAAGTTATTTTTAACCTTTTTTAATGGGTCACCCCTGCTCACCTCCTCCAGCTATTGCAGCTGCCCTGAATTTCTTACTTAGGATAGCTTGCCTAAGCTGGAATTACTGAGAAACGATTGAGGCTTTTGTCAGGATTTTGTTCTGAAACATTAACTTCTAATCCTCCTATGAGTGTATAAAATTACTCATTTTATTATACCCTCATTGATCTAATTCAGTAGGAATTAGGGAATAAAACTGCCTAACTTTTCATTTTTTTTTTTAATGTTTTCCTGTTAGAGACACCCTCATTTATTAGACCCCTGGAGGATAAGACAGTAACCCGAGGTGAAACTGCGGTGTTACAGTGCATAGCTGGAGGGAGTCCTGCACCTCGTCTCAACTGGACTAAAGATGATGGGCCTTTGCTGGTGACAGAACGACATTTCTTTGCTGCAGCCAATCAGCTTCTCATCATTGTAGATGCTGGGCTAGAAGATGCTGGGAAATATACCTGCATTATGTCTAACACCCTTGGGACAGAACGTGGCCACATTTACCTAAATGTCATTTCATCCCCCAATTGTGACTCTTCACAGAGTAGCATTGGGCATGAAGATGATGGCTGGACTACAGTTGGCATTGTCATCATTGTTGTGGTCTGCTGTGTTGTTGGCACTTCTTTGATCTGGGTCATTGTTATTTACCACATGAGAAGGAAAAATGAAGACTATAGTATCACAAACACAGGTAAGTAGTACCCACATGACACCTATGGCTTGTACTTGAGTCAAGAATGTAGTATGGGATTAATTGGACAGTATAAAAAACAGAGCTGGTCATAGTAGCACATGCCTGTAGTCCCAGCTACTCAGGAGGATGAGGTGGGAGGACTGCTTGAGCCCAGGAGTTCAAGGCCCATCTGGGCAACATAGCGAGACCTCATCTTCCCCTCAAAAAACTGAAGAGCTGTGATACATTACCTGATATGTGATGGAAGGGAGTTTTTGTTGTTAAAATGTTCAACTTCTTTGATATAACAGAACCTCTTTGAGGAAAGAATTTTGTTTGTTTATTTGAGATAGGGTGTTACTCTAATGCCTAGGTCAGAGTGTATACGGCTCACTGCAGCGTTGACTTCCCAGGCTCAGGTGATTCTCCCATCTTGGCCTTCTGAGAAGCGGAGACTATAGGCATGTGCCACCGCACCTAATTTTTTATGTTGTTAGTAGAGTCAGGTTTTGCCATGTTGCCCAAGCTGGTCTCGAACTCCTGGGCTCAAGCAGTTTGTCTGCCTTGGCCTCTCAAAGTGCTGGGATTATAGGCATGAGCCACTACGTCTGAACAATTTTAAGAATTTGTAAATACTTTTTTTTTTTTTCCCCGAGATGGAGTCTCACTCTGTTGCCAGGCTGGAGTGCAGTGGCATGATCTCGGCTCAATGCAACTTCCACTTCTCGGGTTCAAGTGATTCTCCTGACTCAGCCTTCCAAGTAGCTGGAACTACAGGCGTGTGCCACCACGCCCAGCTAATTTTTGTGTTTTTTTTTTTTTTTTGAGACGGAGTCTCGCTCTGTCGCCCGGGCTGGAGTGCAGTGGCCGGATCTCAGCTCACTGCAAACTCCGCCTCCCGGGTTTAGGCCATTCTCCTGCCTCAGCCTCCCGAGTAGCTGGGACTACAGGCGCCCGCCACCTCACCCGGCTAGTTTTTTGTATTTTTTTTTAAGTAGAGACGGGGTTTCACCGTGTTAGCCAGGATGGTCTCGATCTCCTGACCTCGTGATCCGCCCATCTCGGCCTCCCAGAGTGCTGGGATTACAGGCTTGAGCCACCGCGCCCGGCCTAATTTTTGTGTTTTTAGTTGAGACAGGGTTTCACCATGTTGACCAGGATGATCTCAATCTTTTGACCTTATGATCTGCCTGCCTTGGCCTCCCAGAGGGCTGGGATTACAGGCGTGAGCAACCATGCCTGGCCAAACTTGACTCTTAAAAACGCATTACAGATGCATTCTCTTTAATGTCAAAGGCTCCTTTTCATCATAATTTTGCTGTAAGGAAGAATGGATCCCTTGAGATTGAGATCAGTCTCTCTTTTTTTTCCCTTGAATATCAAACTGGATTGTTGAGGTCAGTCTTTTACACCTCTCACCCTGAAATCCTGCAAGAAAAGAAATCTAGTCAGATAGATTATGAAAGTGTGGCAGTAGATAAGATTTCAACCTTTAGGTTTTGTTTCTTTTGGTGAAACTTTGAGAAGAATTCTAGTGAGAAGTAGTTTTAGGGGAAGTACCAAGAGCTGTCAGGGTCCTAGGTACATACAGTTTTTCTTGCTAATAGTATCCAAGTCGAACACATTTGCAAAACAGTCTTCTGAGTGTTGACTTCAATTGCCTACCTTTGAGAGTTAAAAATGTCTCTTTTACAGAGGAGCTCAATCTGCCTGCAGACATTCCCAGCTACTTGTCTTCCCAAGGAACGCTGTCTGAGCCACAGGAAGGCTACAGCAACTCTGAGGCAGGCAGTCACCAGCAACTTATGCCTCCTGCCAATGGATATATACACAAAGGCACTGATGGTAATGACTCTGTTGTTTATGGTTACAATTTCAGCCTCATCTATTGAGTTTATTTTTCAGTGTGTAGTTTCTCCATTAATCTGAAGCAATATTTTAAAGTAAGATACCTAATGAAAGCATTTAGCCACATGCAAAATAGGATGAAAATTGACTAAAGTCTTAACAGGATAAGAAAATCATCTTACAGAGTGGAGAAACACATTAAACAAGAGATTAGAATACACAGCAGAGGCTCCCAAACTTGTGTAATTATAGGAAAGGGATGTTCTGGAAACTTTTTTCAGGTATCTCTTTCTTACCCTTTTCAGGCGGGGGCATCCTTCAGACCACATCCAAGGAAAGCTGGTTTCTCTTCCTGACAGGTAGACATTCAGTAAAGTTTAAAGGGTATCTAAGAGCCAGGCATGGTGGCACGCCTGTAGTCCCATCTATCCATGAGGCTGAAGCAGAAGGATTGCTTGAGGCCAGGAGTTTGAGACTATATCATGCTGTGAGCACACCAATGAATAGCCACTGTACTCTAGCCTGGACAACACAGCAAGACTCCCTACCTCTAAAAAAATCAACAAAGGGTAGCAGTGGTTCTCAGCATATATCAGAGAGATGTAAAGAGTTCTCTAATTAAATGAACCTACATCCCAACATGTAGAGATGCGTACCCATACACAGAGCTCTTCTCCCTCCACCCTTTTCATACCCTCGCTCCCATAGGGAGTGACAGAACTGAATGAATTAAGGGACAGAAGAATTGGGTTTGACTGATACTTCTTCCTTTTTCCAGCTCTGTGACCATGAACTAGTTACTTAAGATCTGAGCTTTACTTTTCTAATTTTTAAACAAAGAAACAATAGTTTGTAAAGCACTTCCCCCAAGATTCTCACAGATCTTTTCAACAAATCTTTGTGGTACTTCAAATACTATACAAATGAAAGATATATTCCATTTCTTCAGATACTTTTTTAGACTGAGTGTCAACAGAACTTTATCTAATTGATAAATGGGATTTTATTTTGGCTTTTCATGAAAAATATAGTAGTTCTGACTCTTTTCTTGTTTCTGAGAAAGAGTCTTACTCTGTCACCCAGGGCAGAGTGCAGTGGCACAATCTCAGCTCACTGCAACCTCCACCTCACTGCAACCTCCACCTCACAGGTTCAAGCAATTCCTCTGCCTTAGCCTCCCGAGTAGCTGGGATTACAGGTGCATGCCACCATACCCGGCTAATTTTTGTATTTTTAGTAGAGACAGGTTTCACCACGTTGGTCAGGCTGGTCTTGAACTCCTGACCTTGTGATCTGCCTGCCTTGGCCTCCCAAAGTGCTGGGATTACAGGCGTGAGCCACCGTACCTCGCCAGCATTTCTGACTTTTAAAAGAATACTTAAAAGTCTATTCTTTGAAATATGTGGGAAATAACACTGCTTTCTGGGTTAAACTAAATTACTTTTCACTCTCTTCCAGTTCTAACATTCTGTTGCGTGATTTTGTTTTTTTGTTTTTTTGAGACAGAGTTTCATTCTTGTCACCCAGGCTGGAGTGCAATGGCGCCATCTCAGCTCACTGTAACCTTTGCCTCCCAGGTTCAAGTGATTCTCCTGTCTCAGCCTCCCGAGTAGCTGGGATTACAGGCACCTACCACCACGCCCAGCTAATTTTGTATTTTTAGTAGAGACACGGTTTCACCATGTTGGCCAGGCTGGTCTCAAACCGCGGACCTCAGGTGATCCACCTGCCTCGGCCTCCCAAAGTGTTGGGATTGCAGGCGTGAGCCACTGCTCCTAGCCTGTTGCATGATTTTGAATAAGTGACTCACTCTATTTCTCACTCTCTCTTCTCTTCTTCATCATTCAGTTTTCAAAGCACATAATAATCCAGGGAGTTCATTATTAAACCTATACTTCTGTCAACCATGTACTTGTCAGGCAGGACTCCTCATTGTCAGAAGCTTTCTCTAGGGATGCTTGTAGCAATTGGTGTTACTTAACCTCTTGACTCATGAAAGTAACATGGTTTTTCATGAAGTGAAGTCATAATTCCTTATTCTCTGACTTAGTTTGCTTAAGCCAAGCATGTATCTTGTAGCACAGTACCAGCTTTATCTTGCTCCCTTGATTTGGGCATGATCTATCCATCCACGATAGATATGTTTCAGTGTAGTTTTCAAGAGCACGGGCTCTGGAGCCAGAATGGCTGTTTCTGCTCCTCACTCTGGCAGTATGACGTTGGTTAAGTTACTTAACTTCTCTGTGCTATAGTTTACCCTGTCTGTAAAGTGGGGATAATAATAATACCTACCTCATAAGGATGTTGTGAGGATTAATGAATCAATTCACAGAAAGGGCTTGAAACTTCACCTACTTTATAAAGTAAGTGCTCAATACATGCTAGCAATGATGATGACAACCGTTGAAGAAAACTGATGATTGGCAAAAAATAATTCCTTAACAGAAAGATATTTAGATTCTTTTTCTTGTTATTAGGTGGCACTAGTACCCGGGTGATTTGCTCAGATTGTTATGACAATGCCAACATCTACTCCAGGACCCGAGAATACTGTCCATACACCTATATTGCTGAGGAGGATGTTCTTGATCAGACACTGTCGAGCCTCATGGTCCAGATGCCTAAAGAGACATATTTAGCTCATCTTCCCCAGGATACTACTGCCCTAGAGAGCCTGATATCGTCAACTGACGGAAAGCCATCTGCCTTTCCCACCAACCATGAGAGGATAAGTGAGAAGAAACTTTCGTCCACACCGATGAGTGGTGGTAAGGGATGCATTTTTGTTGTTATTTTGTTTTTACTTTCGTCTAATTGACTCTTCCTTCTGTCATATAGGTAGTGCTCTCATTTGACGGGAAGCAAACGGATTGGTATATAGGAGAAACTGGCCATTGTTAAATGGTGTAAACTATAGCCAGAGATTTCTACATACTAGGGTTACAAAGAAGTCTTCATCTATAGGATGGAAACAACTTTTGTGGGGGTAACAAGATCAGACTACTAAAAATTGAGAGGCCACACACAAAAACGTTTCATACAGGGCATTTATTTATTTGAGACAGAGTCTCGCTCTGTCGCCCAGGTTGGAATGTAGTGGCGCAATCCCAGCTCACTCCAACCTCTGCCTCCCGGTTCAAGCAATTCTCGTACCTCAGCCTCCCAAGAAGCTGGGACTACAGGCGTGCACCACCACACCCAGCTAATTTTTGTATTTTTAGTAGAGATGGGGTTTAACCATGTTGGCCAGGCTGGTCATGATCTCCTGACCTCATGTGATTTGCCTGCCTTGGCCTCCCAAAGTGCTGGGATTACTGGTGTGAGCCACCACACCTGGTATCATATAGGGTATTAATTTTTCTCCCATCTTTATTTAAATAAAGAATAAAATATGGGGGGCTGGGCGCAGTGGCTCACACCTGTAATTTTAGCATTTTGGGAGGCCAAAGCAGGTGGATCATTTGAGGTCAGGAGTTTGAGACCAGCCTGGCCAACATAGTGAAACCCCGTCTCTACTAAAAATACAAAAATTAGCCAGGTGTGGTGGTGGGCGCCTGTAATCCCACCTACTCAGGAGGCTGAGGCACGAGAATCACTTAAGCTCAAGAGATGGAGGTTGCAGTGAGCCAAGATCGTGCCACTGCACTCCAGCCTGGGCAACAGAGTGAGACTCTGTCTCCAAAAAATAGTAATAATAAAATTTTGGCATAATTTGATGATGGTTTTTACTGAGAAGATTTTTTTTTTTTTTTTTGGAAATGGAGGTTTGCTCTTGTTTCCCAAGCTGGAGTACAATGACGCGATCTCGGCTCACCACAACCTCCACCTCCCGGATTTAAGCAATTCTCCTGCCTCAGCCTCCCGAGTAGCTGGGATTACAGGCATGTGCTACCATGCCCAGCTAATTTTGTATTTTTAGTAGAGATGGGGGTTTCTCCATGTTGCTCAGGCTGGTCTCAAACTCCAGACCTCAGGTGATCCGCCCACCTTGGCCTCCCAAAGTGCTGGGATTACAGGCATGAGCCACCGTGCCTGGCCCACTGAGAAGATTTTTTTTTTAAATTTGAGATGTATTCTAGCCCTGTCGCCCAGGCTGGATTACAGTGGCGTGATCTCGGCTCACTGCAACCTCTGCCTCCCAGGTTCAAGCGAACATGTTTTGTTTTGTTGCTGTTCTAGTAGGTAAACATTTAATCTCAGCTTCACTTGGCGGGTGTTTTCTTCTATGAGGTACGATCAAGGTCATAAGTGAGAACGCAGTTTTGGGCTTGTGTCCCCTGTCTCACATGGACCAGGAAAAGAAATATACATTATACTGTATAGATTAGGCATTTGATAACCACTTGGCATTTGAAACAAAACTCTTTCTAGATCATGGAGAGTAATGCTGAGCATGTCTTCCTGTCCATCCGAGCTTTTCATCAGCTTTCATCCTTCTGTCAGCCTGACATGCAGGAGCACTGGAATAGGGTAGGAGGTCAGGCTGGGTGCAGTGGCTCACTTTTGTAATCCCAGCACTTTGGGAGACCAAGGCGGGTGGATCACAAGGTCAGGAGTTCGAGACCAGCCTGGACAACATAGTGAAACCCCATCTCTACTAAAAAAATAAAAAATTAGCTGGGCATGGTGGTGGGCGCCCGTAATCCCAGCTACTTGGGAGGCTGAGGCAGGAGAATCACTTGAACCCGGGAGGCGGAGTTTGCAGTGAGCTGAGATTGAGTGATTGCACTCCAGCCTGGACATCAGGGTGAGACTCTGTTTGAAAACAACAACAACAACAACAACAAAGATAGGGTAGGAGGTGAGAACTACAGGTTTCCAGAGGAAGGCAAAGTATACTGTGATACTCCTGGGGATAGTTCTGGCAGGAGTGAATGATCTAATGTCCCACGTTCGATTATGTCCCACAGGTTACAGGATCATGCTTTTGATTTTAGTAGGACTTGGAACATTCAAGATGGTAGTGAGGGTACATGAAACTCTCTTCAGGATGAAATCTGGCCAGAGACTTAATTTTGCATTTACTACTTCATGTCCCACATTAGATCATTTACTCCTGCCAGAACCATCTGTGAAAGTTTCTAAGATATGCTC